CAGAATTGAAATGCATCACAAGTCACACCCTGCACTACACTATCCATTTGGCCCCACGTACAGTGGAGCTTTACTGCACATGGGGGCCCCAGTGGAGTGGAGGGGGACCCCAATGCTGACTGCTCCCCAGTATCAGAGCCAGGGCATCTGTTTAGCCCTGCCAGGCCCTTCCAGAGGATGTCAGCTCCCTCCCAGTGTCAAAGCAGCAGGTGCCTGTAGCCCGCCACTCCAGCCCGTCTCCCTCCTTCATGTCAGAACCCAGCCCCATGGGCGTCCATGGCTGGTGCCTGGGACGTAGGAAACCAAGTCATCACAGGGCTGCTGGGTAGATTCAAACCACCAGCCTTTCAGTCAGCAGAAGCATGTTAACTGGAGTCTTGTGGAGGAACCAGCACCCAGCCAGCTGACAGGCCATGATCCTGGTCAGCAGGACCCTGCTGTCCTCGAGGTGATGCTGGAGAGCAGCAGAACTGCCCACTGAGTTTCCTACGACTTGTCTTTCTCCTGAGGGGCAGCTAGGGGTTCTGCTGACCTGTGGTTAACGGCCAGCACCACCAGCAGGACGTTTGGCTGGGACTGTGTTGCTGGTGGTTTTCAACACAGACCTTGTGAATCTAAAGTGGGAATTCTAGTTCCCCAGCGGTGGTCAAGGTCACCTCTGCAAAATGTAAGTGAGGGACCTTGTTAAAAGTTAATCTCCTATCTTGAAAAGCAATGGAAAATAGAATGATTTATTAAACACAGGGATAATTACTTGGAAAAATAAACACCCCGAAACCGAACCAGAACACACAAGCCAGCCATCAGCTCTTCTGGTGTCTTAGGATAAGCACTATGATTCCAGTATTCTCAGTAGATTAATTCTAATAATACTAAAATAATTATGATGGTTTGATTTCCTATTCCTCAAAGCTTGCACATACTTAAGTTGTTTAGGGAAATAAAGATCAAACTTAGAGTCTTGGGGAGTGTCTGGAAACCCCGACCACTTGCCATCCGGTTGAGCCCAGCTCACGGCCACTCTGCACTGTTATCTGAGGCTGTAAATCCTGAATGGAGGGAACTGCTCATCTGTCTGCCAAGGGGTGGCTGGTGGATTTGAACTGCTGATCCTTTGGTCAACAGCTTGACATGCACTATACACCAGGGCTCCTTTGCTGCTCTTGTTAACTGACCCTCCCACTGGTTCTCAGAGGCCTGGTCACAGGGGGAGTTTGCCATCCTTCTCCCGGGAGCAGCTGCTGGATTTGAACTGAGTGCTCTTGAGATTGTAGTCACTTCCTTACCACTAGGCCACCAGATCCTTTAGGGTTATCTCTTGGGTTCCAGCCAGTTACCTGGATGAATGACTGGAAGAAGATCCATATTTATTCCCATTTCCAAGAGAGGTGATCCAACCAATTGTGGAAATTATTGAACATTATCATTAATATCGCAGACAAGCAAAATATTACTGAAGGTTATCTGAAATTGGCTAGAACAGCACACCAGCAGAGAACTGCCAGAAGTCCAGGCTGGGTCTAGAAGGGGTCGTGGTACTAGGAATATTGTAGCTAATGTTAGATGGATATTGGCTGAAAGTAGGGAATACCAGAGGAATGTTTATCTGTGCTTCATTGATTATGCAAAGGCATTTGACTGTGTGGACCATAACAAACTGTGGCTGTCTCTGAGAAGAATAGGAATCCCAGAACACTTGGTCATGCTAATGCGAAACTTATACTTGAATCAAGAGGCAGTCATCAGAACAGAGCAAGGAAACACTGCATGGTTCAAAATTGGGAAGGGTGTATGCCAGGAATGTGTCCTATCTCCATACCTTTTCAGCCTATATGCAGAACAGATTATCCGGGAGGCTGGGCTCTATGAGGAGAAATGTGGCATCAGGATTGGTGGAAGATCTATCAACGGTCTGCGTTATGCAGATGACACAACCGTGCTTGCTGAAACTGAGGAGGACCTGAAGTGCTTGCTGCAGAGGGTCAAGGACTGTACCCTACAATATGGATTAAGGCTCAACATCCGTAAAACAAAGATTCTCACCACTGGGCCAATTGGCAGCACCAGGATGGATGGTGAAGAGATTGAGATTGTTCACAGCTTTAGTTTGCTTGGCTCCACA